TAAGTGTAACACCCCTTTACTACATGTGTAACCCCCTTTATGACAGTGTCAAAATACTTTGGGCTGCATGTATAGTCAGGAGGAAGAAGCCAAAGATTTGCTCAAAAGATTTAAAGAACATCTGTCTAAAGCCAAAGTAGAAAGAAAATATTACAATAAAAACACCAAATTAGCAGAGGAACAAAGAAAACTAGTTGATCAATGTTATTCCAATGGTAAAACATCATATTGTAGTATTGATGCTACTGCTCATTATAGTTATGATTGAGCCCAAAATGTTCATGTGCCACATTTGGATCAACAAGTAAGTAAAATTTATTACCTTAGTCCATGTAAAGTTCATTTATTTGGTATTCAAGATGAAGCAATAAGAGAACAAATTAATTATGTTCTTAATGAAGATGAAATCATAGGAAAAGGTCCTAATGGCACTCTTAGCATGATTTTTGATGGAATTAAAAAATTGAATAAAGGTGAAAATCATTTAAAGATTACTTGTGATAATGCTGGGGGACAAAATAAAAATAATGTAACAATTTGGTTTTATTTATATTTGGTAATTTGTGGATATTATGAAAGTGTTGAATTGAATTTCATGATTCCAGGACATACCAAATTCAAATGTGATGGTAGTTTTGGATTGATTAAAAAGCTCTACAGAAGAACAAGAGTAGATTGTCTGGATCATGTGGTTGCAGTGGTAAAAAAGTCTAGTCCAGTGGGATTAAATAAAGCTCAATGTTATGAAGGTGGAAAAGGTTTTCAATACTTAGATATTAAAGCTATTTTGGGAATTTATTTTAAGAAATTACCAAGTATACAGAAATACCAACATTTTCTTTTTGAAGCATCTAATCTTGGTACAGTGAAAGTTCAAGAAGTTGCTAATGGATCTTTTGCTGAATTCAATTTATTGAAAACCAAGAAAGCAGATATTTTTGAAGAGATTAAAGCTTTATCTATTTTAGTTTTAACACCACCTCCTTTGGGCTACAAAAGGCAAGAATATCTTTATCATAATATTTGCCCATTTGTCAGAGATGAGTTTAAAGATATTACTTTCCCAAGACCAATATATACTGGCAATGAATAAAATATTTAGAATAAAATCACCTCTAATGACTTCATCTCTTGTTGATTTATCCCTCACTGTCATTAAGTTTAATAAGTTTAATCTTTTGACAAATATTGTTGGCCTTTACTTAATGTACCCTTTTATAAAAAAGATATAAGTATATTAAATAAATAAATAAAAAAAAGAACAAGCAAGTAAATCATGAAAAACATAATAAATGAACAACAAGTAAATAAAGAACTATTAAACAAAATTGCTGATTTAGAAAAGCAGATAGAAGTTTCAAAGATTCTGGTCTTTCAGGGCCTGTAAATTGATCTGTTGGACACATTGGGATAAAGATATGAATGCTGCACATGATCATTTTTTTACATATGGACACTTACAATGGAGGGAAAGAAACCAGATCCATTTACAGTGTGTAACAGAAAAATAAAATTGAACACTGTTAAATAATTACTGCATTAATTCACATGAAAAAAGCAGAACTTTTATTGGATACACTTTAGTATAAAATAATTTCACCATGCTGTCATCTTGATTTTTTGATCAGATTAAATGAATTAGAAATAAACTTTATATAATAGTATAACATAAAAATCAATTCAAAAATCAATTCAAAATCGCGCATTAAAGGAAAATAGA